GACCCAAAGGTAGAGGGCGGTGGCTTGCAACGTGTCCCCAGGGGGAATCCCTTGCTGAGTGTACAGCATAACCTTCTTTCCAGCAATGGTCGCAGTGGTGAGGGACCACACTCTATCAGATGTTCGCCAAGCGTTTGGTAAAAACCTGGGATGCACGCGTGTGAGTGTCCTGACGGGCTCCGTCCACGTTGCCCCCATGTCCCTCGACACGAGCACCCTTAAGAAAGAATTACATTGGGCAACGATGACAAGCTGCCCCTGCTCCCACTCAACGATGAGGGGGTTAGTGCACCCCACAAGGAGCATCCCCTGTGAAAGCAACCAATTTTTGCCGTCGTCCTTCGAATAAATGATCGTGGAGACAGTTTTGTTGTCTCTTGTCCTTCTCGCCGTCACAGGAAACACAAACGTGTCATCCTCCATCACAACGCCCGAGCCACCACCACCAACAAACCGGTCCAGGCCACGTTGTTTAGCAGATGGTTCGATTTGTGGTACAAGCGAGGTGGATTTGCCCCATTGAATGACTTTATCTTGCGTGGCCTCACCCACGAACAAATCAAGACCCTGTGAGGATGCAATCCACTCCCTCGATGAAGGATCATACTTCTGATGATAGCCCCCCACAAGTAGAAAAACCTTGTTGCCCTTTGTAATTGTTGTAGGTCGGGGCGCATATCTCAGACGGTCGTTATGCTCCTCTTGCGTGGTCGTGTTAAAGATGTTGTACGCCTTCCATTTGTTTGCACGGACCTTAGCGACAAAAGACGACCAGTTCTCCGCAGAGTCAACGTACCCCGCCACAACATCAGCGTCATAGGCTGAAGGATATTCTTCACCGGGGCCTCGGAAGTCGGTGTGACCCTCAGCAAGTGCAACCAACACTCCGCCAGCACTGGCAAGGGAAGGGGAAAAAAAGGAATCCCTCTTTTGATTTTCACCTTGTGTTTCCACAACCGTTTGATGCGGCACAAAAAGATCGACACCCCTTTGAAGCTGCGCCACCTTTTGTTCATTCCCCTGAGCGTGCACAGCCGTACTGTCGCAACATATCAGCAACACGCAGAGGAGAAGCAGCACCGAAAAAGAAAACATGTTCTGGCACCTATTAAGCGTGTGAGACTGCTCACTCATTCTCTCTCTCTGTCTGTGGTGGATCCGCTCAGGCTGCAACGATTGTGTGGTGTGTGTGTGTGTGTGGACGGTGACTGTGGAATCCTCAAAGCGCACAAAATAGCGAGTAGTGTTTGATCTCTCTTTTCCTTCCTCGTGTGTTGGGCACAGAAAGTTGTGAGGAAGAAGCAAACACACCAAAATAAAAGCAAATTCCAAAAAAAAAGGCACAGCTCGCGCCCACAGTTGGGCATCGAGCAAAGAACAGTGACAATCCAAAACTGAAGCCGCACCGACGAACGCATAGGCCACACGATCACACACTCGCCGCAGCCATAAGTGAAACACCCACACGCACCCGCACGGAGAGTCCGCAGTGTGGGACGCCTCCCGCAGAAATAAAAAATTAAAAAAACTAAACAAATTCATGAACACGTCGCTTACCGTATCCCCCGCCCAGCCCCTTCAAACCCCGCCAGCAGCGCCACGCAGTGCGCATGACGGAGGGGCCTCCCATCACGGCCCCCACAAAATCCCCAACGCCCTCCACTTCCCTCAGCGCACTGCAGCCGGAGTGGGGCGCAGCGTAACAAAAAAAAATAATATAATAATAATAACAACAAAAAATAAAACGACGCATGCAGCACTGTTTCCTGCTGCTTGGCTCCGTTCACAAGCGAGGGCGACGCCGGCGCAGCCGTAGTCTCAGGCTGCCCGGTCAGTGCGTGCAGCCCGACCAAGACGGAACAGGCGCATGCATGCCCAAGACGGCAACCCAACAAAAGAGAGACGCCAACGGCGTTTGCTCGAGGCTCTCAGCGGTGCATGCTGCACCCCCCATTGGAGCGGCACGCCAACCAAAAACGATGGCACCCAAAAAAACCAATGGGGAAAAACACCACGCCAACGCACAAAAACAACTACAAATATTCGGTTTGCCCCCGACCTCTGGGCTGTGGTGGCCGCCGCATTTGCTTTCCCGCCTGTGAGCCCACTCAGCATGCAAAACTTACCCTCTCGCCCAAACTCTCTGCAGCAACAAACTGGGAACAGCGAGGAGATATCACCAATGGAATACTTCCGGCGTACACCCACAAGGCGCCATCATTCCCCACACAATTATTCTCGCAACCACAAGAAAAAAAAAAAAAAGGTAGCTGCTGTGGTCGCGCTGGCCATAATAATCATTTGGCGAACGGCAGAGCGAGTCCCTAATTACGCCTCCTACCCACACACAAACACACTCCGGAATATATCATACTCCCTAAAATACTTCACCAGTAAACTCAAGCTTTTTATTCCCCTCCTCCTTTTCCTTGTCCCTCTGGGTGTCATCCACGTTGGGTTTGTCGTTCACTTCAGAACTTTTCAGCTGATACCGCTACCTGGTACTGACGCACCTGCTGATTTCAAAATGCCGCAATGGCCTGAGGATCCTCACGCTCATTGCTGCCCGTTACATTTGTGTGCGCGACGACAACACATCCCTGCTACGCGTTTATTGCCGTACTGTCCTCATGATGCACGTAAATCATCTCCCACGACAAGCCTTCCGCAAACGTTTCCCAGTCATTAAAATAACTCCGTAGAAGACTGTTGAACCGCCTCACCGTGCTGATTCTGGTGCCATGCTCAGCCCTCGTCGTCACCTGCACCGCAACCATCGTCCTCCGCGGTGCACCAACGAAGAAAAAGCCGTCCACAAGCGGAAAAGTTCTGCTCTCCGGTACGTATAGCACCCCGCATTGTGCATCCAACATCGGAGGATCGTGGTCCAGCGTTATTAATGCAACGGGTATGCTTGGATGCTTTTCGGGGTTCGATTGCTGCACACATCTCTGTCGCCGACGACGTCCTGCTGGAGGCAACTCGTTGAGGTCCGGCATTATATTTTCCACAAAGACTCTACGCAGGAATGCGTGCAGAGTGTACCGCTCCAAAATTTCCGGCAATAACACTTTCCGGTACATCAATAGTCGAAAAATAACGTCATTCTCCCCATCCACCTCGAGCAACCCTCCAATTAGTTTGCTTCCAATGGAAAAACAGACCGGCAGGTTAACAAACCCCTCAACATTGCCTTGTCTTATTACTCTGACAACTTTCGCAAGTTTGTGAGGTGCGTCATTCGAGGGGGGCATTCCCACACCTCCAATCACACTATAATGTATAATATTTGAGGCGTCGATACCTGCCAGGACGTTATTGGCGTCACACATGCGGTCCTCATAGTTATCGTCATTAAAGATGCATCGTGAAATCGGTCCGACGTCATCCATGCGTGTTTGCATCCTTCTCCAGTACTCCGCCTGCTCCTCTTCAGTAATATTGCGTGTCTCCCACACACACACATCGCCTTCACGTCGTTTTCATCGGGGCAATTCATGATGATTTTGATAGCACCCGCCTGCTCCGCCTATGCTTTCAGGTTATCTTCGTGCGGGGATGACAACATAATCATGCCCCACTCAGGGAAGGGCACAACATTATTCCATGGCTCTTGAAAATGTCTTGCCATATCGATGATGATGCACCCTTTCATTCCACTTCTGGCCTTATTTACCATAGCATCGCCAATATTATTCTCACCCTCGTATATTGTCACCGTTCGTGTCCTCTTGTCAAACAAGTATGCAAAATCTCTTCCAAAGCAGTACACAACCAGATGGAGCTTCGTGGCGTCGTAGTGCAGCAGCTGATAAAGGAGGTAGGAGCCAGCCGCCATTGACTTCCCTACCCCGGGGGCTCCAATCAAAAGACGACACCCCATTTTAGGTGCGCCTCTCTCTGGAGGGGGAAACACTCCTTTTAGATCACCCTCGACGATCTTCCACACCCGATGCACCTCAATGTTAATGTAGCAGTCGACACTACGTATTGCATGCTCCAGCGAGTACGGTCATTGCTTTTCAGAGGAAAGGATCATGAGTCGTGGGGGTGGTGGACGGAATTGCTCTTCACCACCCACTGGAAGAAAAGTACACACAGTCTGCGTGTACTCCCATAATAACTCTTGTGGCCGTTGGCCCTCTCACCTTCATTCGCACCACCATGTTTCCCCCTTCGCCCTCGGGAAATCCCACGACGTGACTCCACGTTGCGTTACACACGGATTCGTAGAGTCCCTCCAGCCTCGGTCGTCTGCCCCTTTCCTCCCCTTTGTGCTCTTTTCCTTCCACCCTTCGGCGCTGTGCGAAGGGCCCATCCGAGCCGCCAGACAGCCCCGATCCGGGCCGGACGTCCTCCTCCCTGCAACACATTAGTTGCCGGGGGCTCCTCGGTGGCGTGAGATTCTTCCTCGCGGCTCTCAGACACTCTTTTCCTTATTTTTTTTTCCTTTGCAGTGCTTAGCTCGAGCTGAACTGTAGCACAATACTCAACCAGCAGTCAAAAGGGAGAATGAAAGAAAAAAGCAAAATACGCACAGACACAACTCTACGCAGCCGCAACGAAACCAAAGAGAGGGTCACCCACACACAGTACGCGGCGCACACCTCTCACACACAAACACGCACAGGCACCCCCCAATCCCACACACAACGCAAACGTGATACATCACGGCACCCTCCCACACAAACAACGAGGGTAAATTGGATCTCCCTCGACAGCCCGTGTGAATTGCACGACACACACAACCACTGCGATGAGGCTTCTATTTTCTCTCGTATTGC